TTGGATCATGAAACTGGGGTAGGTCATCTTTTCTCATAATTCTCATTTTTCAGTACGTACTGTATGCACCAGCACAAACACCACTGAGTTTCTGCCTAAGTTTTGTTGATACTGCAAATTCCTGAAAGTTTGCTAAATCATTCCCTGTGATTGGCTAGTTGAAAGTCCAAAGAATAAACTTGGAATAACCGATATGAAAGGAAAATGTCTGTCCTTGTCTTTGTTGCCGTTGTTGTCCCTCATTTTCCTTGCAGTCATGATGACTCAAGCATTTGTTAAAGATTACCTTCAAACGTGGATATCATAGTGATCAGTTTGAAATCATGCCAAAGTTCAATTGCAGCATGATTCACTTGTATATATTTGAAGATATTTGTGAAAGTGTAATTTGAAATTGTCCTTTTCTTGTGGTTGCTATAAGTCAAACAATTTTTATCTAGTCATCCGCATACATTGAAATCTTATCAATCGCTATAAAAAATCATTCAAGTTACATTTCATGTGATCAGCATGTATAATTTTTAATATTTATGTAATAATTTGGTTATAATAATTTGACTAAAAACATTTTTGTACACATAGAAATAAATGCAGAAATTATGACCTGTGCATGGCTGAAATTTCCCTTTTTATTTTTTGTATTTAGGTGAATTGTTTAAGTGTCAACTGTGATAATAGTATGATACTATCAGGTACAAAGGATGGTCAAGTGTGTCTATGGGACACTGATATGCAGATATTAATAAGTCAAAAACATGTACATTCTGGTATGGTGAACGATGTCAAGTTCAGTCCAGGTAAAGTATTTTATACCTTTCATAGGAGTTTAGCCAAATTCATGTTTTGTATCTACTGGGTGTTTATACAGTGCATCATGGTTGGGATTTCTACATTAAATATAAATGGATGGATATGTTTTGAAAATTAGTACCGATTATGAGATTTATATTACTGATACTATTTTCGTTCATGCCTTTTGGCAAAATGTTCAGATCTGATGAACTATACACTGTACTTTAAATGGAACAACTCAAATTTTGTCTTTTCCATAAAAATTCAGACTTTGAATGATATATTTTATTCTGCCAACTTTTGCATATTTTTATTTTTTTTGGTAATTTTGGACTAAATTGATATGATTTTCCAATGAGTAACTTGCACTTGGTTTTAATAGTGGGTTAAGAAAATGACATAGAATTTTCAGTTTAGCCAAAAACTTTAATACATAGAATTTGAATGTGCATGGGAATATATATTCAACACAGACAGTAATTTAAAAATTATAATATCCCAGAAATAAAATTAATTGCTTGAAAAACAAGTTCGTCTTGATTTATTTCATTGTGGTTTTCATCAAGTATACAGTGGCAAAAAGCTTTCTTCATTAATTTGGATCCATTGATGTACATATTGTTTTGTGTAGATGGACAGCGTGTGTTGTCATGTGGTGAGGATCACTTCATGAGAGTTATGGATGTCCACAGTGGTACGGAAGTCTATGCTAAAGATGCTGGAGAGGAACTCAGGTAAGATCTCATCTTTTGAAAGGAAGTGGCAGGTATGTAATGGCAATCTTGAGCTTCTACCTGAGCTTGCTCAGAGTCAACCTGAGCTCCACCCTGAGCTTCAACTTGTGCTTAGGAAATTATTTACAGCAGAAGCTCAAAACGAAGTTGGAGCACTGACACTGAGCTCCAACTAGAGTGTCTAAGATCAAATCAGCTGGTTTGAAGTCACCCATTGAAGCAAACAAAAGAAACATACTTGCCAGTGAAATCATACACAAGTCTCTTCTTAAAAAAAAATTGGAACTCACCAGCCAAACATTGCGCGGTGTGCAAATTGAAGTCTCCCATTGGATGGGAGAATTAATTGATGTCAGTGAAAATGGCAACAAAATGTGAGCGTCCAGTAATGATATTGAATACCATCTGGACGTAGAAGACAAAATGAGAAATATTTTATCCCGGTATTTTTCAAGAGTGGAAAGCCGTTAGAATAAACATGAAAGGGGACCCCCTACTATCTTTCATGAAAACATGGGCACAGTGCCACTCTGAGCTTTAACTTGAGCTTGGAATATTGTTTACAGCAGATCAAAGCTTGAAACGAAGTTGGGTCGCAGTGGCCACTGTGACATGCTGTGTTCAATATGGGTCCCATACTGAACACTGAGAGCATTAAGAATGTTGTTCAGTTTACAGAGGTGTTCAGATTATGGAGGTTTAAGGCACATACAGGTTTCCTTTTATCAGTTGTAGCATGACTGTGCTTGGTTGATATCTCTATTAAATGGCAAATATCTAACTTCTCAACTTCAGTTTTTAAAATCCTACTGTTACACACACAAAAATCAAACTTCTTAATAATGTGAACTCAACAGGTTCTGAACCATTCACTTGTTTTCTTATTAAAACTATAATAATGTAATTGTTTGTGTTGTAGATGTCTGTCATGGGATGGCAGTGTGGTGCTAGCAGGTATGCAATCTGGATACCTTCTCATATGGGACTTTGCTAGAGTCAAGGTATTAAACAAGGTTAAAGGTCATGATGGTGAGTAAATAGCAGAACAAATGATATTGTGATTTGTGAGTTTAATCTTTTCGCCAGACTTCATCGCCCAAATTTTTATGCACTTTTTTTCTTAGTCTTCAATATTTCTGGAAATGAACCTAATTTTTAAAATTTTAGTCAATTTTCATTTTTTTCTCAAAAAATTTGGCTATTTTTGTGTCAGTCTGCAGAAGGAAAGAGCAGATTTATAAACAGGACTAATTTTTGAATTTGTGATGAAAAGAGAAAACTGGTTATAAAAAAGTTAATCTTACTACATGACTTATTAAAGCACCTACTAACATAAAACTATTATGCTAATTAAATAGTGAAATAAGTGAACCTCAATCTTCAAGGTTCCAAACTTTCCAATGAAACCACTTGGCTTCCCACATTAATAAATAATAAAAATCTCTTCTGTTACATTTTTTTTTTTATGAATATGAATTTCTTCACCATAATTCAATAATGTTACCTGTTTTGTTGTAATTTTATACGGTACATGTCACATTACAATATTTTTACCCATGTAATACCGTATTTATCTGGGTATAAGCCCAGGGTCCTGAACATGGAAAATCGGCAAAAAGAAGGGGTGGGCGTTTGTCCGGATATCCCCGGCAAAAAAAACCAAAAAATCGCAAAAATTGGCAACACGCAGATCAAACTGCGACAGGGAGAAAAACGACGAATAAAAACATGCAACAACAATAAATGAACAATATGCAGCATTAGAAGTGTAACAAGAAATAATTTATTGCTTAGAATGTGACAAACCAGAAATAATAAAAATCGACAGTGAAGATTCATTTGAATTAGAATATCCCCGTCGACAAACACGCCGCCCCATACGCGTGAATTATTTCCGGTTTCGACAATTACCGGATCAACGGCCATACAAGATCAATAATAATTCACGCAGTAAAATTACGAAAGTTCGTAGTTGTTAGAAAAAAAAAACCTTCTAAGATCTCTGTTTGTACGTTCATTGCTATCTTTGTAAAAGTCAAAACCCTGAAATTCCAAGTCGGCGCCACTGTCGCGATCGAACTAAAATCCTATAGCTTCATCTTGAAGTTTGTCCATGTCGTCCCACACAATTTGGACTTAGCACATTAATTCACGTCTAATCAGAATAAAGAGACAAGAAAAATTGGATCGCGGCAAACGACTCGTACGATGCTTTTGTTTACCGTCTGGCAATCATCTTTGACCTTTAAGCATCCGCTTTACTGATTGGCTTAGAATGACATGACTACTAGTGTTTCGTCATAGAGGTAAATTCAACATCGCTTTCTTATCAGACTAGGCGTTCGTTCATGGTGAAAGTTACCATTCAGCAAGTTATATGGTTATCGCGGTGGGCTTGAAATAGGAAGATTCTTTTTCAATGACAGAAGAATAATTTCTATGAAATGCAATAGCTGTGGTGAAAGATGGTAAAAAAAGTTGGCAGTCTTCGGCATGACATTGCGAAATTGCTGGCCCCAGTTATGGATTCGCAAATATTTATAAAGCCAAAACAACATGCTTTAAACCACTCTCCCAGGTACGGGCTGCTACAATATTGCAACATTGGTTTCATTGTCGGCCACGCTAACTACTTAAACAGTGGTGAACGCGCTGCTCTATTTATGTCACAGCTATTTCGCGTTCACTCCTCGTTATACGCAATTGACATTTATTTTTCAAATTTTGTTATCAGAATCAAAACAAACTGCAAGAAGTACACTGTTAATACAACGAACAAAAATAGGTTTTTGTTTTTTGACTCCTGTGTGCGAAGCACAAAAGGGAGTCTTTGCAGTTACCCTGTCTGTCTGTATGTCTGTATGTCTGTATGTACATGTATGTATGTATGTATGTATGTATGTCACTTTTTTTGTTCCACCGTTATCTCAAGAACCACTAATCAAATTTTGATGAAACTTGGTACATAGATGCTCTGGGATAATGCGCAGAGTTGATTAGGTGTTGGTAAAAATCT